CTCCGGGAGACAGTTGATTTTTAGGAGAACAAGAAGTTGAAATCTTAGAAAATAGTGCCATCTGTTGAAACTGAAGATCGTCGGTGACGAGGCCTCCTGAGACAGTTAAGCTGAAGTGACCAAAGGAAAAGTATCTTGACAAATGCTTGAAGTGATGGTTGCATCTTGACCTGTTGAGTAGGTACCAACTAGAAGGCCTCGAGTAGGACAGTTGCTTTGCAGATTGGTTGAAGCCTCCTTGAGCGGAGATGGGAGAAGTAGCAAGCAACTGCTCAGAAAGTTAAGTAGTGGTGTTGGGATCGGCGACAACTTTTGTATTTTGAGGCGGCCGATTTGTAGGCCCTGATTACTCTGGTTTTGTGCGGCTTGCTTCTCTATGATCAGAGATGAGAGAGTTCAGTGATATGGAATTTCTTCAATGGTAACAGTCTTGGAGGCATTTACTTTTTTGGACTCTTTTTTTGGAGGAAGTTTTGGACAAGGGACACCGGTTTCCAGGAGCCTACAGCTGGGTAAGGGCCCTAGCATGTTTTATGTACCGGGTTGTTTTGTTGGGGTGTATTCCCGGGCCCCTGCTGTCCTTTTGAAAATGGAAAGAAGTCTTCCTTCAAAAAAAATAAAAATAAAAATAAAAATAAAATAAAATCATGGTAAAATCCCTCCACAACTTAGAAGTGGCGGTAAAATCACGGACTTCCACCAAAACTCAACGCCGTCGTTGTTAGCAATAGCACTTTACTTGGAATAGCTTTCTACCACGCAGAACAGGGCCTCGCCTCCTCCAAAACTGGCGGTAAAATCACGGACTTCCACCAAAACTCAACGCNCACTTTACTTGGAATAGCTTTCTACCACGCAGAACAGGGCCTCGCCTCCTCCAAAACTGGCGGTAAAATCACGGACTTCCACCAAAACTCAACGCGGTCGTTGTTAGCAATCGCGCTTTACTTGGAGTAGCTTTCTACCACGCAGAACAGGGCCTCACCGCCTCCAAAACCACGTCTCTCAGCCGAAAAAAATGTCCGAAAGACTCGGAAACCCCGCGCTCTTCTCACATTTGCGGGGGTTGACTGTGGGCACGTCCGATCCGGGTCCATCATGCATCCAGGGCCCGCAGCCGCCCGACGCCACCCGCTGCCGCCCGACGCCACCCGCTGCCGCCCGACGCCACCCGCTGCCGCCCAACTAAACTACACGGCGCATGTGGGTCCCGGCCCCAGAGAGCTCAAAAAAGGTTCAAAAAGAAGCTTAGGCCCTTACTGTAAACTAGGTTAACGCGGGAACACGATCGAATTCGGCCGCCCGTCGGATTACGGCTTCCGTACGGCCGAGAGCGATCGGAAGGCCAGTTCGATGGGATTTCGGCAGCCGTACGACGGCGCACGAGCAGCGCCACAAGCCCAGTTGCGAGGATCAGAATTTAGAAAATTTTGGTTTGAATGCGTGGCATCTTCCCGCTCGCTTGTATGCGTGGAACTTTCCCGCTCGCGTGAATGCGTGGCAGTTCCCGCTCATTCTGCCATGTACGAGCCGTTCTGGCGGCAACCTCCCTTTTGTTTTTTCATTTAGGGGCGGGTAAAGCGCGACGTCTGAACTGCTGGATGCGTATGCGCGGGAGTTATAATTTGCCGTCCGTCCACCGAATGCAACACGCTGAAGGAGTAGGGGAGGATGATCCACGCACATGAACGAAGAGGAGCATCCTGATGTCTCTCCAGATCCATGAGGAGAGGAGCATAGAACCAGGTTGATAGGCCAGTTGGGAGGATTAGAAATTGGCGGGAATGTGGGCCATTTTCCCGCTCGTTCCTGGTATGAGCCGTTCTGGGAGCAGACTTGCCTTAGGTGGGGGAGAGGGGGGGGGGGGGGGGGGGGGGGGGGGGGGGGAGCCGGCCGGAAAGAGTCTACGGGAAGATCGCCGTCTGAAGTGGATGCATACTCGGGAGTTCTGAGTTGCCTAAAGTTTCAGGCGCCTGGGTTAGGGTGCCCTTTTCTCCGTCAAATGCAACATGCTGAACGAAGAGGAGGAGGAGGATGATTCTGATTTCTATCGAGGTCAATGAGGAGCATAAAACCAGATCGATCGGTCGCACAGACACACACACACACAAACACACACACACACACACACACACACACA